CCATACCCCTACTCGCGACCCTTCGAGAGATATAAGCCCCTGAAATAATAAATTCCTATTACAAATATACTGAATTATTTATATTGTTATATTGACCAAACAATAATTTATTGGCCAAATAAATAATAAAAATTTATATTGTTAATTTAAATAAGAATTAAAATTGTTAATTTGAATGTTTGAAATATGACACACAATAGGGGTGCCTCTAGTGTCCGTTATCAAACGGTTACGGGACAGACGGATAGATGGATACCCGTTGAATGGGTTATATATATAGATAAATCGTGTAGTTGTAGTTGTCACTGGTACATGTATTCTGTTCCAGAGACTTACGGGTACATATTAATCTGTGTGATGTTCATGTTTTTTAAAGTTTGGTCTTGACAGACATAAGTTAATTCAAGATGGTGATGCGTGAAATATGGACCCTATTGGTGCTTTTAATATGGAACCTGTCTCCTCTGTGGTTCCGTATTACCAACAAATTCAAACCATAAAATAATTTTTGTAAAAGTATTTAGTAGATGAATAAAAAATTAGAAGGAAAATGAAAAAAGTAAAAATATATACCCAACACTATAAATAAGTAAATATAGCTAAATTCTAAAGTTAGTTTGGTTAAAAAAACTATTTTGGATAGATAAGTGTTTTTTCAAATTGATTTTTTAAAAAATTTATTTATTTTTTAATTTTCAGAAGCCTAGAACCCAACTGAACAAGAATAACCTTCAACTTCCAGTGTCAAAAGGCTAACAAGATGGAAAACACCCAAGGCAAAGCGACAATGCATCAGCAGTGTTTCGAGTGATGATGACTCTATTGATATCCCCTCATCTGTTGACTCTCCTTTCGACTTGCTTAACGAGGAGACACCTGGTTTTAAAGATGACACTGCTTGTCTGCTTTGTGATGGGTTGTTTGCAGATGATGGGGAGGTGTGGGTGCAATGCCTAATGTGTGATATGTGGGCACATAAAGATTGTGCTGATGTTGAAAAGGAGCATTATATTTGTAATTTTTGTAAATGATTAGCTGCTTTTTTGTACATTTCTTTATTATTATTATTATTATTATTATTATCCCGGGATTCCGGGATCCCGTTTGAGAAACTTTAGATATCATGGAGAGGTGTGGGTGCAATACCTAATGTGCGCTATGTGGGCACATAAAGATTGTGCCGATGTTGAAAAGGAGCATTATATTTGTGATTTTTGTAAATTATTAGCTTCTTCTTTGTACATTTCTTTATTATTATTATTATTAAAACATTTTTGCGTTAAAATACATTGGAGTAAATAATTTTGTAATTATTTAACATTTTTTGTACTTTCCTATTTGTATACCGTTTAACCTACTTTGGTATTCTTTACTTAATCTTTGCTTTATTTGTGTATGTTCTGTTAGTTTGGCCTGTTGGAATCCTAAATACTTGTAGAACTCGCCCTCTTCCATGGATTCAATAACGTCTCCATTTCCAAGTGCAAAATCTTCTTTCTTCAGGATTCCTTTTTCTATGTGTAGTTTTTTGCATTTGTCTAGGCCAAACTCCATTTGTATGTCCTTAGTG